ATCCGGCCTAACTGCAGAAGAAATGAAAGTAATAGACGAACTTCTACAAGAAGAAAACCAAAAGATTGACAGTCAGCTAACAAATTCGCTATACCAACAAGACAACAACATAGATGGTACCCAACATTCTACAGAAGAAAACCCAATAGTCGGAATTCTAATCAGCGAAAGACCATTCAACTGTTACAATAACCAAATCATATTCAAATTGGTAAATTACAATCCTGCAAAACCTATAACAGAACAGTGCTTCCTAACAAAGAAGAGAATGCACGTCCAACTAGATAAAAACGACCTGAAAACCGATATTTTTAATTTGTTTAAGAACAAAAAAGAAATATGCCATCCTATTCGAAACTAATGAACTCTACCAGTCTGTCTGCAACATACTTCGAGAAACATTCAAGCACTCTGCATTTTATCTTGTAAAATGTAACAATTTACTAGAAGATATAAGCAGTCCAGAAAGACAGAAAACCATCGTAAAAGACTATCACTAAGGAAAGACAAATCATAGAGGAATTAATGAAACAGAAATTTAAATCAGAAAACACTATTACTGGCCAACGTTGAAAAAGGATATAGAAGATTATATTAATCTCTGCGATACTTGTCAAACAAACAAATACGACAGAAATCCAGAAAAACCGAAGTTTATGTTAACTCCAACACCAACGAAACCACTGGAAATTGTTCACATAGACACATTCCCAGCAGCAGGACAAAAATTCCTTACCGTCATCAACGCATTTTCAAAATATGGACTCACCATGGACTACCACATATGATAATTTCTGATAGTGGAACTGAATTTAAAAATGGACTTGTTCAAGGATTCGTGGACATTCACAAGACCTTAATCCACTACACAACACCTGATAACCCGCAATCTAATGGAATGATCGACCTTTCACTCTACAATCATCGAGCATCTTCGAACATTAAAAAAAAAAGAAAACACTTAACATAAAAGACCAGATGCTATACGCCATTATGGCATACAACAATTCTATTTACTCAGCTACCAAACAGAATCCCATCAACGTTCTTAATGGTCACATAGATGCTCAAGATCCATTCGATATAGAACACTGATAAATAATTACACACAGGAGCACAGATTAAAAACAAAAGAGATGTATAAAGAAATAAATAAGAAATTGCAAGAGAGCAAACAGAAAAACATTAAAAAGATAAACCAAAAATGACACTCTCCGATAAGATATAAACCCAGCACGAAAATATACACTCGAAAAACAGTAAAACGAAACAAACTGCTCCCCAGATTTTCACCTAAACTAGTCCAAAACAACAATCCTGTTACTGTTGATACCCAAGATACAACGGTGCATAAGAAAAATATTAAACATCAACCACCAATAAAAACTAATCGCAAAAATACTTTACAGATGTATCTCAGTAACAGCCCAAGAAGTGAAAATCCAGGACCTTCGCGACAATCCAGGGATCCTCCCAGTTAAGCTTGGAGAAGCCAGAATCCAAACTAGCACCCATGATTTCATCCACTATTTCCAATTGGAACCAATAGCACAGGAAATCGAAACATTGACATATCAATATCAAACTATAACTACAGCTATAGAAAATGGACTAAGTCAGCCGTACTTCGACAGTCTACAGAACTTCGACAAAACATTGCAGTATCTTCTTAAAACAGCCCAAGAGAAACTCGACTCAGTTTATCCAGCAACCAGAAATAAAAGAGGATATCCTTATCAATGGATTAGGAAATATTATAAAATCCATCTCAGGAAACTTAGATCAAGAAGACGCAGAAAGATACGATGCAGCAATTCAGTCACTTGAACTCAATCAACAAAATATTATTAATAACCTTAATAACTAATTAAGCCTTAATAAGAAAATAATGAACAACTATAACGAGACAGTTACACTATTACCCACAATCAAGAGATAATAGCCGCAGAAACCAACAAAATCCGAACAGACTTAAACCAATTTGTCTTTGATTTCAACCATTACATGCAAGTTCGAAACGTTTTAGACCAGATGAATTTAGCCTTACAAACGATTATACAAATATTAGATGACCTACAGACAGCAATCACATTCGCAAAAATCAAAACTCTTCATAATGGACTTATAAAACCAGACGAAATAAGATGGACCATCCAGAAAATGCTAGAACATCATCCAGCTTCTCAGCTATCATACCTCGAAGAAGAAGACCTGATGAGATATTACGAGATAGTAGAAGTAGATGGTTACTACTCCAACCACTCTGTAGTCTTTATCTTACATTTTCCCATTCTTTATTCCAAAGTATTTACATATTTTCATCTATATTTACTTCCAACTATAAATAACACAATAATTATTCCAACTGGACCATATTTAGCTTCTAACTCAGAACTTTTTCAATACATGGACCTACCATGCAGAAAAAGTGAACCAAAGAAATTCATTTTTCCAGAGAAGTTCCCGCAAGAAAATACAGAAACCGACTACTGCATTAATCAAATCCTAAAATTATCCAATGATGCCGCCCAATGTCAAAACGTACCGATAACAATTAGCACAACAATTATCCAAAAAGTATCGGAAGCTCACTATATTACTGTTTTCTCAAAAGCTACTAAAATCTCCACCCACTGTTCTACTTCCAAAATTGAAGTACTCAGAGGAACATTTCTAATAAAACTACCCCCAGGATGTGAGTTCAGAACCAACAACGAAGTTTACATCAACTCCAAAGCAACAATAAAAGAAGAACCGTTAACCCTGCCAAAAATAAAAATTAATCTTCAAGGAGAAAATCCAACAGTAAAGCTTCTAAAATTAGACAGAATCCAGTTAGATGAACTACATAAACTCTCAACGAAAGAAAAAACACTCCAACCCGTGTCTTTAAAAACAATGGATCATTACCATCTATGGACACCACCAATATATATCCTGGCGACAGCCCTTATCGTTATTTTGGTTTACAAATTACAAGAGATATGGAAACAGAAGACAACAGAAGAAGAAGAAGAAGAAGATACAGCCGATCCAGAATTCATGCCTTCAGTTTTGTTCATCCCTCACAAAATTTCCCAAGGGGATGAAGAAATTACGGTGCAGTAACCGAAGGTCAGCAAACCCAATCAACAGTATTTTCAATCAATAAAGCAGTGGAGTATAGTCGTAAAAGTTAATAAAGGGTCTTTTTAAAAAGTACCTTCGCGAGTTTAAACCTTTAAGTCGCTGTTCTTTTAAAGATAGTAAACTCCGAAATTCTTTATAAATTCCTTCTGTTTCTAGTTCAGAAATTAATATTGAACATTTGTGTTTATTTCGTCCCAAGCATCTCGGTACTTTCATAGGTCTGGCACTAATGACGTTTCCTTTGCTGGTTAAATATTCCTTTCCTTTAAACCTCTTAATTTTTTATTGCCTCTTGTACTGAGTAACCAGTTTTGATTTTTTACGGCTTGCAGGTGGGGAAGCTTCTACTTAATCTTGTGGACTATCTTGTCGGCCAAGTAAATGAACAGCAGTGTCTTCAAGAGAAACATTTTGCTCGGCACTGGTACCTCCAATTTCATTGCTATTGACTCTGTCTTCAAAAGGAACATTTTGGTGGACACGGGTACTTCCAGTGTCCACCAAATTTCAATGCTGGATTGATCACCTGATTTTCTCACCTTTTTGCTGTGACGGGTGGAAAACTTATTAGACTTGGTATTTTTAGTACTAAAACCTAAAAAAATTACAAAAAAAATATACTTCTGTGTGGTGTATGTACTGTTACCTTCCAAATCAGAAGACTTATCTCCAGATGGAATATATTCATTCAACGTCACGTTTTAGTTATTTAACCGATACCCATTAAATTGAGTTTTATTAAAACCTTTAAAACAATAAGCTACAACTATTTAAAACTTTGTATAGGTACTAAAGTATAGCAAAAAAATAAAGTAGGTACTTACCAAAACAATAGTTCATAGCTAATACCATCCGATACACAATAAACAAGTCCAAGCTTGCGTTATTACACCTCAATAAAACGAACTAAACTACTAAAGTGACTAATTCCCCGAGAGTTGAATTCTTTTAAGGCCCGTTTTCACGCTACGTCTTATTGTACGTTTTGTTGGATAGGACAAATCCTATACAATAAAACGTTGCATGTAAACAGCAAAACGTACGCCTTGTCGGAAGGAAACACATAGTGTGTATACATTGGACAAAACGTACGTTTTCTCGTACGTTTTATATGACCAACAAAACGCACAATAAGACGTAGCGTGAAAACGGGCCATTACGCATGGGAATGGTTTTGTTTACATTTTTTACAGTCCGTCCAATAATATAAAAATATTAATTCCCTTTATAGTAAATTCGCGAATGTGTAATATTCGTAATTTTGGACGTGTAGAACTTAATAAGTTCCAACGGTAAACTTACGAATCTAATTACTCTTAAGTTCACTGTTGCAAAAGTTGAAGAAAGACGAGCACATATGTTACTTTGAACCAGTTAATTGTGAGTTTAATATTGAAGATACATATTCAATACTTTAGACTGTAAATCTAGTTGTAATTATGTAATCCTAACTGGTTAATGCAATTTCGTAAACTTCACAGATTTGCTACTTTACCATACATAGGACGATAATATGGTATGATGCTTTGGTCACTGTACTTTACATCTTGTTGCTTGTAAGACAAATAATTTGATTTATTGTTTTTAATAAGAAACGGGGTTAAAGTTTTTAAATGTTAAAAAAATATTCGACTTAAATAAAATTCTGATGATGGTGTTGTATAGCTACTTCAGATTTTTCGAAACTTTATTGATAGTTTTTTAATTTAAATAACGTTAAGGTGGTAAACGTCAAATTTAAACCATCTCTTACGATTCGTTAAACACCTTGTCTTTAGACAGGGGAAAAATGCATTTTTAAGACATTTGATTCGAGTCTATTTGTGTATAAATTCTTGTAATATATTTAATTTATACTTAATGATTTCCAGAAACTGAAGGGGGTATTCAATTATCTGAGAACTATGTAGTTCAAACAGAGATAGAAAATTTAGATACGAAAATAATTTCTGAAGACAGACAAGACACTGTAGATACGTCGTTAACGGTAAGTGGATCTGAGCCTCCTTTAACTGAAACAGAGGCTTCTACTTTACAAACCCCAGAGATAACAGATGCGGATACTACTGACGTTGATGGTAAGTGCATAATTATTTTATAAAGATAAAAAATACTAATTTAAATCTTGCCCATTTATATAATAATATTCAATAGTTAAGTTGTTTCAAAACAATCTTGGAAAAAGTACTTGGGTATTGATTCTGTCTTTTATCATATTAATATTACTAAAGATCATAATTTTCGCTAATGTTCCGCTAATGTTTGTTGAATACCGAATTTGGATATTTCACCGAACTTGTTCTCGCCCCCTTGCTCTCCTTTCAGTCTTCCAGAATCAGTTTTTCATTTCTGTTGGTCCAATACTCAAAGAACTGAAGAATTTGCTGTAGAGATGTTGTAGACAGTCTTGTTTTATTATTAAAATGCCTTATAAAATACAGAAGGAGCATTCAGCACCTCCTACGAAGCAATTACAAGGGCGATTTGCCTAAAAGGAATAGACGAAACAAGCTACAGATGGATAGACTGCATACTGAAGCTATTTTTTGTGGCATTTTTAATTAATTACTATTTAACTGGGAATAAGCCACAATTAAAGATAAAAATACGTTTATTGACGTTTCAATTTCAACTTCGGAAATCGTTCTCAAAATACAAACAGTAAATTAAACAAATTTTGTTTTGTGTTACATAGTGAAAATTCTTCTAATAATTTAATTTTATCTGACTCATTTATATTGACAATTCAGACATACATTATGCATTTTAAAGTAGACGACTTTAAAATGACATTGCCAATATTGTTGAGTTGCGCTCCTGGGACGACTTTACTTATAAGATAGTTCATTCGATTACATGAAATCAACTTTAACTTGAGAATATCCGTCAGAAAAAATCATAGCATGTAATTCGTCTTTAAAAAGACAAACACATGACATGGTGACAGTAAAATTCTCCTGTTAGTGATTCCATAGTAAATTATGAGGGAAAACCAGGAAAAAAACCTCATAATACTATCCCGACATGCTAAGTATTTGTTCGTGCATTTAGTTTACCTTCAATAAACACCAAAATTCTGATTTTATATAATTAGTTATTTAAAAAACATAAATGATGTATCCTCTATATGTTACTGACTTACTAATACTGGTATTTTCTTATTAATAACTTCCTCTTTCAATATTGGTAACCAGATCCTACTACATTCTGCCGAGGAATTTGCGACACAATTGGCCTCATTTAGCATAATTAGAGCCGCTTCTTTGATTTTTCTTTTTTTACCATTCGTTTCTTTTAGGACTGCATTTGAATTATTCCATTGAACCCTATGTTCATTATCCCATGCGTGTTTACATATTTAAGATCTATCAAATTCTCTAATTTTAATATAAGATTGATGTTCACTTATTCTAACATTTAATGGCCTTGATGTTTCACCTAAATCAAACTGATCGCATTCACAAGGTATTTTATAAATGCAATTCTTTGTCCTTTCTTGTTCATTGTTAGGTTTGGTTTTGGTCAAAATAGATCTCAACGTGTTTGTTGTTTGAATGTTGTTGAAATGTTGAGTTTATTTCCTATCCTTTTAAGTTTTTCTGATAATCCTTTTATGTACGGTATTGTTATTTTCCTCGTATTATTCCTTGTGTATGCTGTAGGATGTCGTTCTAAGTTGTTCTGTTCTATTCGATCGATTGTTGAAAATTCCTTATTTATAAACGATAAACGATAATCATTTATTAATAAAACAGATGTTAACACATGTTTCTCCTCCAAGAACGAATTTTCGTTAGAACAAGAAATTTTTGCTCTATCGTATAAGGATTTAATTATTCCCTTTTTTACATTAATACTGTGATTTGATTTGAAATTTAAATATCTATTGGTGTGTGTTGGTTTTCTATACACCTGATTGTTAGAGATTAAAACATCCAGGAAAGGTAGCGTGTTATTATATTCCTTTTCCATGGTAAATGTTATTGTCTCTTCTTTATCGTTTATATCATTTACGAATGTGTCCAACAACTCTGATCCATGAGGCCATATTGAGAATACATCATCTACATACCTCCACCATACTGTGGATTTTAAATTTTGTTTAGAAATAAGATTTGTTTCAAAATCTTCCATAAATATATCGGCTAAGAATGGAGATAAACTAGAGCCCATTGCTAGACCAAAATTTTGTTTATAAATTTATGAGTTTATAAAATATGTTTATAAACCATGTTTATAAAATATGAGACTACTACTATGGAATCACTAACAGGAGAATTTTACTGTCATCATGTCATGTGTTTGTCGTCGTCTACTTTAAAATGCATAATGTATGTCTGAATTGTCAATATAAATGAGTCAGATAAAATTAAATTATTAGAAGAATTTTTCACTATGTAACAAAAAACAACATTTGTTTAATTTACTGTTTGTATTTTGAGAACGATTTCCGAAGTGGAAATTGAAACGTCAATAAACGTATTTTTATCTTTAATTGTGGCTTATTCCCAGTTAAATAGTAATTAATTTACCCAAAGGTTGTTCGCAGAAATAATCTTATCTCCTCTCTTGTGTAATCTGGTCATGGATAAGCTAAGAGTTCGACTTAGGAATAAGAGACATCATGTCCTCGGCTATGCGGATGACCTAAGCATCTTAGTCCACGTTAAATTTAATAGCACAGATAGAAGCTGGCTTTATTTACAGAACATACTTCAAATGCAGGTATTAACATAAGCTTTCAGAAGTCACCCTCCTCCTAAGTGCCTTCTCTGTTGAGGTTGGCGATCAATATGGCAAATTTCTCTTTGTTCTAGGCTTGATGAATTAATTCATTTCCTCTTGCGTGGGTTCAATCTCTTGAATCTTGTGTGGATTTATTTTCGTCCTATGCCCCTTTTACCTTCAATCTTGCCTTCTGATATTATCTGGAGCTTCTCAAATTCTCTATGCCGCAATATGTGTCCTAGATATCACATCTTTCTAATTTTGATAGTATTGACCAAATGAGGGCGTGTGTTAATTACTCTCAGTAATTCTTCATTCGCAGTTCTGCTGGTCCAGCTTATTCTTAACATTCGGCGGTACATTCACATTTCAAATGAATTTAATTTGTTGGCGTCCTGTTTTATTGTCCAGGTCTCACAGCCGATAATAATAGAGACCGTACATAACACTTTAGTGTTCCTAATCTTATTGAAACTAATACAGAACATTTTACGCATACTCATAAAACCAGATCTTGCTATTTCAATGCATCTTCTATTCTTTTGAGTGGTCTAATTGACTATTTAGCTCTCTGCATAGTTATATAAAGCTTTTTGAAATCTGAAGGGCGATACCATTTATTTGTATGTTAGGTGTAACTTGTTCATGGAGGTTTTTATAGAATACCAGAATTTTGATTTTGGAAAAGTTTGTGTCCAAGCCTAGCCTGTGACTTTCTTCTGATAATAAGTTCATTCATACTATGTGTCATCGGCATATCTTATATTGTTAATGATGTTTCCATTGACTCTGGCACCTTAAGGGCGATCTTCAAGAGAAGCTCTAATTATATGTTCGGCATATACATTAAATAATAGGGGGGACAAAATGCACCCTTGACGCACTCCTCGTTCTATGTTGATTTACTTGGTGTTTCCGTTTCCGTTCTCTGTTCGAAAGCATCCTGTGTGGTTCCATTATGTATTACTTATGATAGCTATGTCGTGTTCGTCCAACCCTACTTCTTTTAGCACCTCAATCAATTTTCCGTGTTTGGTGCGGTCGAAGGCCTTTCTATAATCGACAAAGCACACATACAGCCATTTTTGAACCTCAAGATACCTTTTTGCCATCAGTGTCACTCCCATAATCACTTCTCTAGTGCCTGTACCCTTTCTAAAACCATATTGAGAACGACTCAGGTATTCTTCACACTTATTGTGAATTCGGTTTTAAATATTATTTGTATAAAAATCTTAGCGACATGACTCAATAGGGATACAGTTCAGTGGTCTTCACATTTCCTTGTTTTTTTGTTTTTTAGAAAGAGCTATATATGTGGATGTTAGCCAGTCATGCGGTATTATGCCATGTTCATATATAATGTTGCAGAGGTAGGTTAATTTCCTGACAGCATTATCACTTAGGTGTTTAAAATGTTTGGCTGTTATTAGGTCTTCGCCAGGTACCTTCTTGTTCTTTGCTTCTTTTATTGCCTGCAAAACTTCTTCGGTGAGAATGTTTAATTTTCCATCTGTATCTATTTGTGGGGCTCTTCTGTTCTCTGATCACCAAAAGTGATCAGAAGTCCAACGTCATGAAATTTACCAGAAGTAAGAAATTAAAGGGATTAAATTCGCTAAACCTGAATTGTACAAATCTAAATCTGGAGAGTAAAGTTTCTTGTGACAATATTAAACTCAAGGCTTACTTGGAATCAACAAATAGAAGTCATAACAACTAAGAGTACGATAACTACGACAATGGTAACCAGGCACACTTATGGAGAAATGTAGGATTTAAAACCAGACATCAATTATATGGTGGCCAAAAGTGCAGCAGAAATGTGTCATCCTCAACTAAGTAAAATGCAAAGACTTGCTTGCCTTGGAATCACTAAGGCTATCAAAGGCTTACCAACGGCAGCATATATAGCATGGTGGTTCTACTGGACCTTTCTACTTTACACATGGATGATAATGATTTCTGGCTATACGGTATCTGACTATACAGATACCGGCCTAGAGTACCTTTTTAAGTAAACATTTACCCACGAGAGGGATGGAACAGTGAAAACTCTCGAATCAGACTGCAGGGTTATACATACTACACAGAGGGTATAAAATTGCAGAAGGGTCAGGTGTAGAAATTTTTCGTAGTAAACATAAACAGTAAATACTTCCATTCCACTAGAAAAATACACTGTCGGATTTCTCTTGGTTGTCCACAATCTCTACATTTCTTACTCTACAAGCAACTGCAAAGTGGTTCAAGATTTCACACCGTGAGCATGATTTTCCAAATGCTGGACATTTCCTTGGCCCGTGCATTGTTTGACAGCGCCTACATTTAAATTTGTCTTGCTGTTTTCTGCTTGTATGTGATGTATGTTTATCCTTGGGAAACCTCTTGATAGCATGGATTTCTGCGATGGTCTTTTCTGCAACATTTTGTTCTGGTTCTTACTGATTTCACTTGCACGGCAAATTTCTATGGTTTTATTTAACTTTAGCTTGTCTATTCTCAGTAGAGCTTCTCTTGTGACTGTATCACGAATGTTCATGACAATTCTGTCTCTTAGAGCTTTCTCTTTAGTTGTTTCATCTGGGTCAGTTACATTAAAATTACAAGATTTCACCAGGTGCTTTACTTCAGCGGGGTAATGCTCAAAAGATTCGCCCTCTTTTTGGTTTCTGCCTAAAAACTTGTACCTTTCAAACACTTCATTGGCTCTTGGATTCACATATACCTCTAGCTGTTCCATCATGTATTTGTAGGACTCAGCGGTTACATCAGGGATTGCAATTGTACACATTATTTTAGCGGACTCGGCTCCTATTATACTTCTGAGAATTGCCAGTTTTATATTATCGGCATACTGATCTTTCCCTGTTGCTACTAGATAATCTTCAAATGAGATCTTCCAAAACTTCCAAGTAGCGGATTTTTGCCCCTGTAAGTCGAAATCTGGAGGCAATTTTACAGGTTCATGCATGTGTGACTGTGCCATGTTTAAAATTAATGTATCCACATATATTAGGATGTTTTAATAATTGGATAAGCTTTATAATTGTTTATTGGAACCTAAATACAAACTTGTATTTTTACAGATGATATTTTTGATAGATGACATTAACCTTGACAGTTGACACCACACGTCTATGTTCGGTTTAGTAATACATAGTAAACCAATAATAATACAACTGACTGCATTATGACCGGTTTACACGAAACGGCATGCATAGAAAAACAAAAAAATTGACAGACAATTGATAAAAAAGACCATGTGCTAATAAAAACTAAACATATGAAAATAAAAGAGAGTATAATTAAAATGGGACTAGACGCAAATATACTTCGGCTCGCTGATAACCAACAATGGCGATTGCTTCTCAGAAATCAAGCGTAGACGAACAATTGCCCGAACAGAAACAGTTAAATTGATTAAAATATGAAAAGACCGAATAATCTTCTTCTTCTTCAGCCTTTATTTATCCATTGTTGGACATAGGCCTCCTCCAATTGCTTCCATGCTTCCCTATCTTTTGCAATTCTCATCTACTGCTTTCCAGATAGAATACTAGACCGAATAATAACAAGGAATAATAAGCTCAGGTTAATAAATGGCCTAAATTTTGCCACTGCTACATACACAGCTGAAACATAAACTATAAAAAAAAATCAATAGGAGTAAGATCAAAGCCTTTGAAATGTGGATCTATAGAAAAATTCTACGTGTGTCCTAGAGAGAACCTATAACCAACCTGTCAATTCTGGAAGAGCTTTATATAAAATACAGGCTATTAAAAAAGTAGACCGAGCATACCGAATTTACTTCGACCACATAGCTAGAAGAACGGAGACCATGGAACTATTAGTAGTAGAAGGAAAGGTAGAAGGCCAAAGACCAAGAGGAAGATCTCCAATACGATGGGCAGACCAAATGAAGTCTCAGGTTGTAACGAAATATGTTTGCATACCACATGGGGTATTATTATAAGGGGTGAAAATTGGGGACATAAACTATGGGGGTGGAGATAAGGCAAGCAAAATAAACGCTACTTGTGCAAACGGCACTCAGGGTTTGTTCGGAGAGCTGAAGTCGTGAATAAGTAAATGACAAGGGGGTTGGATTAGGGCAACTACAAAAAAATGAAACAAAGGGGTACTAACATGAATCTCTTGGAACAAATAAAACAAAACACAGGAAGGAAACACCACTAGCAATTTAAAAGGAATGCTGCCTCGAGGTGCCAAATTATAACGATTACAATAACTAGGTGTAACTACTGGAATAATTATTAAAAAGAAAAATATATCTTTAAAAATGAAACTCAAAAAAAAGGTTAGAGTTAGAGAATTAGTTAAGGGAAATAAACAAAATGGTTAAAAAAAATTAAACATTTATTGTGTCTCACCACAAACAGTTATAAAATAGACAATGCAAAAATATTATATCAATAGTCGCAAAACACAAAAATACAAAGAAAAACTTACATGTCTGTAAGAAAAACTTAATAAATTATTACTACAATGGAGGTTAATTTTTTTTAAAAACAAAACAAATGAATATTAAAAATAATAAAGCGACCTGTCTTATGTTAACATTAAATTTTAAATTTAAGAACAATTAAAATTGACAGCTAAAGTGAAACCCCAAAATTTACAATTTTAAATATTAAAATTTTTATATTTTAATGAAAGCAATTATTGCTTAAAAAAATGTCTGCCTTTACTTTAAAATTTGAAACAAAAAGTTACCTGGATTTCACAAAAACACTGTAATCATAACTTGAACTATAACTGGGACAAAAAACTACATCTAACACTGCGATAGGACCGACTATTTGAGGTTGAAGTCGGCACTGAACACAAAACTTGGAACTCTGACTCCTAAAAAAACTGGAACAGGTAGAATTAGACTGCAACTACGCATTAAATTGCTACTATTAACTGTTACTAAACTTATTTTCCATAACGTAAGAAGAAGAACAAAAGAACATTACAAATTTGATGAAAAATTTGGACCCACGCTAAAAATCGACTGCCTCTGGCAGCGATCCTAGGGAGAATGAGAAATTATCTTACCAGCAAAAAACTTGGCATAAACAAAACACTTAACGGGAATTGAAACGCAAAATATTAATTCAAAAACGCAGTATCGGACTATTTAACGATCAAAGAAATATCGAGGAAAATACGCAGCTGTGAAATAAATAAACAAACTCCAAGATGGTTTACATTACCATCCAGCGATGCAAATAAAATGATTGAAAACACTTTTGGGTTAACTTTTACGATTAGAAACTAAAAAACATGGAATACATTCTTCGTTGTTTTAATTTATATATGAGGGGATTTAAATTTTCTACATATACGAGGGATTCCAATATATATATATATATATATATATATATATATATATATATAATATATATATATATATATATATATATATATATCAAAGAAGTTATATACCAAAGAATTTGCAAATGCTACAAGGTGGGAAAATCCCTAGATAAAGCCGTACATATGGCACATGATTGCATCCTCATGCGCACACTGATGCACACTAAACCGTGAATACATTTTAATGCAAATTGAAAATTTAGTAATGACTAAATTAATCGACGTTGTGGCGATATTTGCCTATCTATTATTCGATTTGAAATGAAAAATATATTTTAGTCATTTTTGCTTTATTAAATATAATCGAATTTTAGATATACCAACCGATATAGAGGATGGAAAAAAGAAGAAAAAGAAAAAGAAAGATAAAGGAAAAAAGCAGAAGAAAAAGAAAAAAGGTAAATCAAATGTTTAGTTTATATATATTTATGTAATAATATAATGGAAATTGTAGAATATATTTAATTTTTAATTTTTATTTTAGATGGTACACCTCAGATTGCTTCTGAAGAAGATGAATATATCATGGTTCCGGTAAGTTTTATTAAATTAATGTATTATAAATTAATTTATAATACATATTATATTAGTACAGTGAATGAAGGTAAAAATCAACTAAAATATTACCTCCGATTTCGCCGAATCTCCATCGATTTGCATGCAAATTTGGGATTGAGTATATCATACTCTTAACTTCAAAAGTGACGTATGCTCAACTTGCGCTTTTTGCATTTTAGGGGTTAAAACCACCCCTTTTGTTAAAAATTATAAACAATACAGGGCCCTGATTCTAATTGAGATTTCGACTGAAAACATGTTGAAATCAATATGGCGACGTCGAAATGCGACTTTGCGAGCCTAGTGGATTTTAGCTGAACTAACCAAAGGACGTCACTAAATTTCGATTTATCGAAATTAATTTCAACTTCAAGAAAGTGGTTGAAATTTAATTTCGAGTCAAAATTAATCTGACATGACTAGCGGGACTGGGAGAAGCGAGGTTAGGTTGGTTCAGTTTAGGCGGTGTTGTTTGATTGTTGCAACGAAAACTGAGGCAAAAAGTATTAATATGGCTGGGTTTTATCAGAAATTGTATGTGATTCGGCACATCATTGGTCGAAATTTCAACACCTATAAAAATAGAACTGCGGTACCTGGGGGCCCCAAGCCAGATGCTACTGATTATTTTTTTAAATATACTGTGGTGTTAAAATTAAAGAAATAAAATGTCCCAATATTAAAACTAAATTGAAAACCACAATTTTTGAATATATTCAACAGGCTGTAATGGAAGATAGAAATAATAAATAATTTGGTTGTAATAATTTATTTTAATTCTACACTCTTATTTGGAGATATAAAATAATCTTTAAACTCATCAAGAATTTTTAGAGCGGTAATGTATTGTTTTTAGTAATACCAATACTAAGCTGCAGTAAATTTAAAAATATAATATAACCACTAAGTCAAAAGCGATCATAATTTCTTTTTGGTCCACAGACAATTTAGTGCCACCATCACCAACAGCCTCCATCCATTTTCTTTCAATTCAAAATATAATCATTGAGAATGGCCACTAAAAATTTAACAACTCAAACAAGAAACAAAAATCGTAAAATGTAAACAAAACAAACATTTAACAAGCGTGCAGCCAATAAACAAGACGGCCAACCCAAATTCTGAGCAGTGTCAAAATGATAAAGTAAATGTCCCCACTTTTAACTAAAATCGAAATGAATGAGAATCGCTAGCGATTACGACTGTCATGGCGTAGTCGCTTTTAAATTTCGACATCGAAATGAAATAGAATCAGGGCCCAGATTTAAGCATTCTGGCATAAGTAATCTCGAATAATTTAATAAAATAAATATTTTGCAACATTTATAAGCATGAAAAATAATTGTAATTAATTTTTCAACCCTTTTAGCAACTATCCCTTAAATCAAAAATCATGAAAAAATTATTTTTATATTTCTGAAATATCAAATCTCATATTAATATTACCCAAATAGTTTGTTTAATGTTTATGACATAATTTTTGATTAACTGTGAAATTTCAACCCTTAAAAACCACCCCGTTAAAGCAGAATAATTAAAAAAATTAATTTCAAGAAATTTTAAACATTTGAAGAATACATTACTGAATTGAAATCTCATTTACTGAGTATTAAAGTATTTATTTATTTGTTGCGTAATTTTGCACCCTTAAAAACTACCCCTGGATTTGACACGACCAGACACGACAGTCGTTGGTTGATGCGGTGTTGCCTAATCAAATATTATTTTAGAGGTATTGAATTGTAATATTATTAATAATGAGTTTATAATTATATTTATTATCAGAGCACTAATATCAAAGTTAAAATATTTGAGGTAATTGATAAAATATGCTATTTGCTAAGTTATTAGTCATAATAAAACCGAGCAAATAATTTCACGATCTTGTGATTATCGAAAGTTATCCGACAACGTAGCAAACGCAGTAGAATTGTTCAATGCTAAATATATGGATGTTTACGCTTCGGACGCTTGCATATAACTGAGTTTTGACTCCTCCCTTTATCGATGAAGTGACCATGAATGTTGCAGCTATATCTGTTGAGTTACTAAAACATTCAATAGACACACAGCATACTAGACAGTCCCACTATGTTTTTGAGCAGATATTCAGAATTTCTTTCACTAGCTTCTTCTGTCTTCAAAATATACATACACACATCCACACATGTATATCTCGTGAGCATATACCTATCGACACGTCTACTTATTATTACCTATCTTTTTTCTATATTATATACATACAAATTATCTAAAATTTCTACTAAATTTCATACTATTCTAAAAATTAAAAAAAAAATGTTTTGATTTTTACAATAACTCCGTTAAATTTTATGATATCAGGTTCATTTAAAAACTATTTCAAGGGCTATAAAGATGTATTAAATTTATTCTTTTAACTTTCTTATTTTTTAAAAATAAACGGTTAAATGGCCCCGGTTACATGGTTCTTTCAGTAAAATTTAGGTTTTAAACGTTTTTATCTCAGTTATTTTTTATTCTACTGTAGTGTCGTAAGCTTAGACAGTGTGAACCCGACCTTAGGGTGTTAGCTGACGGCTGTCTGGCAACCGTCAGCTGTCAACCTAAAAAAAGGCTTTGAAAAATTGCTGTAAAAATATAAACATTTGTGTTCACCCTTTTAGCGGGTATTTTAGTAAAATAAAACTATTTACCGTAATTGTCGTATTATTACAAGGATACTACAATTATTTTGCGACGAGAAAAGTTGTGGAAGTTTGGGTGAAGCACAAAATATTGTATTTTTTTACGGAAAGTTGAATTTGGAATTTGCAAGTCATGTCCTTGGACCAGGGTAATTCAGAAAACGTGGTTTTGCCAATTCAACCGACTGTTACAGTGGTTAATACTGGGGACATTTCGGCATTAGCAGTTTTCAAGCAAGGTGATGATTTTGAAGTATTTGAAGAACGGCTAGACCAATTGTTTATGGCAAATATAATAGAGGGTACACGAAAGGTTGCTGTTTTACTTACCTTGTTAAGTGAAGAGGTATACAAGATTTTGAGAGACCTATGTAGCCCTGAAAAGCCGAATGGTAAAGACTTTGATACTTTAATACAGTTATTAAGACTACATTTTAAACCAAGAGTGTCTGTCTATCGCAGAAGGATTGATTTCGATTCATTAAGACAGGGCCAAGAGTCTATTAATGATTGGTATTTAAGGGTTAAAAATGCAGCTACACAATGTGATTTTATGGACAAACTGATGTATAGAGTCCAAGATAAATTTGTGACAGGCATGAGGCCAGGTCATATATTGGACCGTTTGTGTGAGGAGAGTCCGTCCAAAAGTTTTCAAGAACTGTTAGAGATAGCTTTGAACAAAGAAGCAGCCTTGACAGAACAGTCCAGAAATAATGCTGAAGTGAATAAGCTACAAGAAGTTAGACAAAAAGCAAGTAGTACTTCTAGTAGTAATATTTCCAGAAATGGCAAGAAAATAGTGGAGAGACATAGTGATAAAGGGAGACATAGTGATCCAGAAGACTTAAGGTGTAATTTCTGTAACAAAACCAAGCATAATTTTAGTAAATGTAAGTACCGAACATTTATTTGTAAAAAATGTGGCAAAAAGGGTCATATTATGGCAGCATGCAAATTAGAGCAGAATCATTTGGTGGAAGAGGAAGAAAATGAGAATATACTTTCATTGTACAACTTAACAGACATTCAACAAGTTAATTTTATAAAGCCACTGTATATTCCAGTTGTAGTAGATGATAAGGTGTCCACACAGATGGAATTGGATACTGGAGCAGGTATTTCTTGTATGCCTCATAAGTTTTAATTAGATAATTTAAGCTACATTCCTTTGAATAAAACAGGTATTAAATTAAAAACCTACTCTGGAGAAATTGTGAATCCAGAAGGGAAAATTACTGTAAAAATTTCTATACAGAATGTTTCAAAAATTTGTAATTTTACAATAGTCAAGAAAGCTACTAAAATGTTGTTAGGTCGCGATATAATTAGTAAATTTAACATGTCTTTAAAAAATTCCAAAATAACAATTAATGACCTAGCTATTCAAAATAAAAACAATAAATTGGATAAAATATTGTCAAAATATTCAAAGCTATTTCAAAGGGAGTTGGGTAGGTACAATGGGGAAAAAGTTACTTTAGAAATAGATGAAAATGTAAAACCAGTTTTCCACAAACCTCATCCCTTACCATTTGCTTTTCGGGAAAAGGTGGAGGTGGAACTAAAGCGGTTAGAGTCAGAGGGTGCTATTGAACGGGCAGATAATTCTCTGTGGGGAACACCATTAGTACCAGTTATGAAACCCAATGGCAAAGATATTCGTGTTTGCGCTAACTATAAAATCACAGTAAATAAATATTTAAAAGATTTCAACCATCCATTGCCCCGTATTGAGGACATTTTCGCCGCGTTACAAGGAGGACAAAAATATTCAAAACTCGATTTTCTCAATGCTTATAACCAGTTAGTACTAGATGATACAACTAGTGAGTTATTATCTTGGAGCACACCTCTAGGTATATATAGAATAAAGCGGTTACCTTATGGCACGAAGCCAGCCTGTTCTATTTTTCAAAATGTAATTGAAAAGGTTTTGCAGGGGTGTCGGGGTACAGTAAATTTTCTGGACGATGTAGTAGTAACAGGGAAAGACGATAGAGAGCATTTAGAAAACTTGGAAGAGGTGTTAAAGAGACTAGAAAGAGCAGGGTTTAGATTAAACGAAAAAAAATGCGAATTTTTCAAAGAAAACATTTATTATTTGGGACATAAAATATCACAAAATGGGTTGGAAAAAGACGAAGAAAAGGTAAGGGCAATCATAAGTGCTCCTAGACCCAAAAATATTACAGAGGTTAGGGCTTTCGCGGGAATGATAAATTATTATTCCCGTTTTTGTGAAAATTTACAAGGGAAATTAAAACCCTTATATGAGTTAGTAGGGAAAATGAAAAAATTTAAATGGAC